TAAATTAAAATCCATCTTCTTGATCTTTATACAAAACTGAGGAATCTCAAACAAAGATCAAGGTGTGGAGAAACAACCTGATGCCTTTTGTTAATGTGTTAATGAACTTGCTTGGTTAATGTCATAGAAAAAGTCATACAAACCCCCAGACAAGATCTTTTACCTGAACCTGTATACTTACCAATGACAATGCTTTTCAAAGACTGAAGCCTAAATTAAAATATGAAAAGAAGAGGTGGGTAGATAGGGGTTCTTGGTAGCTGTTCATCTGCTAAGTGGGACAATTTTTTTTTATCTTTATTAAAACTACTAATGCATTTTAAAGCAAGTAAAGCTTTTGTGTCTTTTGTCCTTTCCTCTAATTTTGATTTTTTTATCTTTATCTGCACAACTACTTTTCAGCTAACTTGAGAGCTACTCTATCCTATGCCATTCATCACTAGAACATCTCAGAGGGACTTGGAAATGTTTCAAGTTTTAACAATCATCAGAGACTTAACCTGTTTTTTCTCATCTAAGTTACCTGCCTAGACACACTAGGAAGACAAACACTGAATAAGAGAAGTTGAATAATAATAGTAATGAGGAATTTTGCATGAGAAATAAAAACCTGGTAAAATCAGGTCTTTTGTTGTAGATTGCTGAGATACTTTACCAGTGTAAGAAAAAGAGTGTCGACATTTGTCAGGCTATCCTCCATAAATTAGAATTACTGTACACGAGAAGTGCAGCTTTGGCTGCCATAATTATCCCTGTTACATTTGCTATTTTGTTGTGGGTTTTTTTCTTTGAAATACAAGGGGGTAACTGGGGGTACGTTGGTAGTACTTAAAGTCCCTATTTTCTTAGTTGATCTTTTTGTTCTATTATCATTACAATTCTTTTTGTCTTGACCTAATCACATTTTCTGGCTTCCTTGTCAATTTAAAAGATAAATCAGGAGGAAAAAAGAAAAAAATGCTTTGATTGTTTGTGGTGTGGGTTGTTTGGGGGTTTTCTAATGAATTTGTTGCGTTAGAATGGTATAAGGTTGACAGCCTAGGAAACTAAAGCATCGGTACATATTTTCTCAGACTATTTTGATAGTATGCTTTATCCCTGACCTGGAAAAGCCACCTCTGCATGTGAGAGGATAGTTCATTCTCCATAGCTCATTCAGTCCTTGTCCTTTTCGCTAGGACTGCCATCAAGATTGCTAATTATAGTAATAGGTTTGTGATGTCAGTACTTTTCCTCTGAAAACTGGTCAAATTCATTTGATACAGGCCATAAAGCAGCCATTAGCAGGTACCAAGTTTCAGCCACCATCAGTTTGACCTAAGTAGTAGCTGAACAGTGCAGTAGTGTTTTTCCCTTGCATCCTATTTCATTTTTTAATCTTCTTGTTGTAGCCAAAAAAAGCTCCCAGACTGTTTTTTATTTCCAGGGGGTTTCAGACCCTTTTCTGCTGAAACTGAGTTGCCTATTTCCAATTGCAAGGAACTAAAACTGCATGAGTTAAATAAGTCAGCACAAAATAATGTCAAGAGTGGGCTTTACACAACCTTAAATATCTTGGTTTGTTTTTTTTTTTTCTTTACAAAAAAGCTATTGAAGGTGTGGCTTGGGCAGAAATACAGAGTAAAGCACATTTTTCAAATTTACAAAATAATTTCAGCTGTTAGTACTATAGGTTCTTCCCTCAAAAGAAAGACATAAAAATATTATAACTTTAAAATGTCTTACTTTGCTGGAAGAAAAGTGACTTTAGAAAAAAGTGGTTTATGTCCACTAATTTAGCATTACTGGAAAGGGAATAAGATGAAAATATTGACACGGGTTGCATTTTTTTCATGTTGGCACTCAACATGATACTGGTGATTTAAAAGACTTTTTGTGGTATGGTATTTTTACACTTACATCTATTTTTTTTTAAAGGAAACTTCATAAAGACTGAGATTTTCAGATTTCTGTTGCTAACACTTTTCTGGGTTTCCTAGTAGTGCTTTTCTTTAAATGGAAATGCAATCAGCACTTACTTCATGGTGCCTTTGGTATTTCTTTCAGGTCTGACCACTAAGTTCGAGAGTGATGTCCTCAATAATCCCTGAAAAAATTACTGTTCCTTACCCCCTTACTACATATAGATACATGCATTTAGATACATATATCTTTACCTTTCTCAGAGTTGTTTTGCAATATCAGTGCATTTTTCCGTACTTCACACTCAGGAATTGTGTTTGGATTACAAGAACTTGTGTGGCTAGTTGATGGTATTTATGTATGTCCTGGCTCTGATTCAGTACTTTCATTAGCACTAGAATTCAACATAGCTGATTCTGATTCAGAATCAGGCTGATTCTGACATCAGTGTTAATGATGTAATAATGCTGACTCTGAGCAGAATTGTTTCTGATTCCCTGATATGCAGGGGCATGTCTGCTTTACAGGTGCAGGTGCAGATGTTTGATTGCAGCTCATGCAAATTTGTGGAAGCATTAAACGGATAACAGCATAGATATGGTAGCCCAGAGTTAGCTACCAAAACAGTTTTGGAGGCTGCAGCCTGTACTGAGCTTCACATACCCTAGCTGTGCTTCCCTGACTAGTCATGCTTGCACTTGGCTAAAGATAGCATGGATAAATATATACAGCTTGTAGTTGCATCTCTCCCACCAGTGTGCATACATCCTGAGTGAGATCAGAATGAGTCCTGTTGGTATTTATTTTATAGAAACTTTCTCTAGTTTGCATGGTTATTTCCCCACAGGAATAAAGATTTTCCTGTACCTTTTGAAAATTTACAGCAAAGTTGATTTTGAAAATCTTCTGTGTAAATTTATCATTGGCCTTTGCATAATTATCATGTCTTCAGGAATGCAACTGTACTGGAGGTAGAGACCAAGAGCAGTCCTGGTGCTAGATCAGAAAAATGGAGGAAGACAGGTTTATGGCTGGATGTGGGGCCCTTAGCTCACTCCTAACAGCACACATGCGAGTCATGTTGCACCACTGCTCATGCTCCTGGCAACTCGTCGATTCCATATTTTGCTCAGCGTTATGGTTTCTGAGCTTTTACCTACCCACACAAACTCCTTTGTGCCTACAGTATGTGTGCACAGAAAATGCTGTATTTTGGATGCTCAGCGGGAACCTGACAGCAACATGAGAGAGTTTGGTTTTTTTTTTCCAGGAGGAGGCACCTGTGCTGCCTTCCAAACTGCATGTGTGAAGTATAGTAAATATACGGGTTAAAAAAATCGTAATTCAAATCCCTATAGTGGTACTGATCAGATCTCTGTTTCTGTAGCAATGAGAACCAAAGGTGGCCTTTTAAGGCTCGCAGTTCATCTACCAATTTCCAGTTCTGCTTCAGGATTCTTAAAGTATTAGAGTGCGTGCTTTAAACCCACAAAACTTACCTTTACCTAATTTTCACCATTCTAACCTAAGTTTCCACGGAAACAGGGTTGAAAAAGCTGCTGGTAGCCAGCAGGCAGCCAGCAGCTGAGAGTGAGAACTCTCCTTTGTCACTTTCCACTACTGGATGCCTGCTGCGTGCCAGTGTGCAAAGCTACCTAGGCTTCTAAAATCTGGAATACTTTCAATTTGAGGGGGAAAAATTAAATTAATCTACTCTTTTCTCTCTTTGGATTGTCACAGTAAATTCCAGGAGGCCAAATGGGCTAATGAGTCCTGATCTGTTCAGTTACACTGAGCCCCACATAATCAAAGCTTTCCCAACCAACTGGGCCTGTCCTTTCATAATTTCCATGTTTTAAAAGCATTTTCTCTCCAATTTTGTGTCTGTGCATGTGTACACACGTATTGTGGTACCTTAATTCTTCATGGCTCTATATCTATCTATCTACGTATTTACGAGCCTTTTTCGCATATAGTATCATTGATGTATAAAATTTCCTTTTTTCCTGTATACTTAGGGAACATTTCTGAATGAACACATTATAACTGATCCTCGGTTAAATATTAGGAGTAGGATGTGAATGGAGATGGCTTTTAACCAGAAGTAGATTATAGCTGCGGGAAGACTAAAGGGTCTATTTGGTCAAGACTCATACAAAACTGAGATAAGCATGCACAACCTGACAAGATCAGATTAGACCCTTCCCCCAGAAGTGCTTTTCCCATAAATATTTATCTACTTTCTATTATAAATAACCAGGAAATGAAAAAGAAGGATAGATTCTTTTTTAAAAAATAGCCTAGAAATAGAAATGCAGCTTCAAATCTTCAGGGTGATGATATTTTAAGTATGCAGTAAATTCCAATACTACTTGATGTTTTTTTAAATGGGAACAAAGTACTGAAATTCTTCCTGGCAGCTACATAAATTGGCAGCATTTATAATCAAAGAAGAACTTCGTACATATGTGCATTTTTGCCTAGTATTGGGTACCTTAGAATTATATAACTTATCACCTATGAGGGAATAGGTGTTGACAAAGTCAGCACTGCTGTATTTTTAAGCTTCCCTGAGGCAACATAGCTGGCATTGAAGTTCAGCTTGGCATTTTTTCACCCTGTCCCTCCTCCCTGCAGCCCAAGTGAACGCTCACTTCATCAATGAGAAACACAACTGACTTGCCTGCCAGATGTAACGGAGATCCACGAATTCACATCTATTCTGCAAATTTGTGTTTCATTCAGATTGTCGATACTTTGACTTCACTTCCTCCTGCAGTGGTGTTAAGGGGTAAAAATCTGAAGCCGTACATGTGCCACTAATTCAGAAATGCATATTTGTTGGTGATCCGCTCATCAGAATCTGTGTAGATTGCCTTCCTGTTATAATAAAAAAACAGCTCTTTAGCTTTGACATTTAAAACCTTAGCAATGTACAGAATAATATTTTTACATTCATTTTTGAAAGTAACGAGTGTGTACTTTTTAAAACACTTCTGTGTCACATAAGAATAATATTAATACTTTAAAAATCTCAAGATGAAAGATGTAAGTCCTTTTTTCTTTTCTTTTTTTTTTTAAATCTTTTTTTTCTCTAGCATTTTACGATGGGATAATGAGACAGATGTCTCTCAACTGGAAGGACATTTTGACATTGTTATGTGTGCTGACTGGTAAGTACATAAAAATCATAAAACTCATGTTAGAAAAATAGCTTTGCTGGAGTAATTGTACTGTGCTGCTTGCTGATGGCTAAGCAAAGTCAACAAATGAAGCACAAAGCCACCTTAACCTCAACAAATTAATATTCATCTCCATGTGACAGTTATAAGGTAGTCTTCTATCACACAGTAACTTCTACCACATTATTTCCCAAAGATTGATTTTGAGAAGCATTTCCATTTTCTGGAATTGCCTCTGTTTCATGCTTGACGTATCAGTAAATGGACGACTTAGGCAAATTGCAAATAATTATGGCTCAGTGAGGAACAGTCTGGAGAAAAGGGAGTTTATCAACACAAACAGCTCAATTAGCTTACTTCTTAGGAAAGATCTGACTATTGATATAAGGGGATATATTTTTTGCTCCCCAGAAAATCTTTCTGAGATAAAAAAGGTTTTCGAAATCTTTTTTCCCCCATCACATTCTGTTTCTTAAATCAGTGTGACAGCAATATTTGTAGACATAAGCTTTATATTATTTACACAGGCACATGTTAATTGTAAGAGAACTCTCAGTAAAAAAATGAGAGTACAGCACTTTTAATTTTTGAAAAGGTATACATGTTACAATATGGTATATTGTTTTAATAATTTATGCAAATAGATTTGATTATTGACACAACCCTTTTCTGATACTGGATTTGCACAATTGTGCTGTGCTATATTTGCTGCATGCTAACTTTAAAAATGGTACATTATTAATTATTTCTGTTATATAAATGAAGACAGTGTAAAAAGAGAAGTGTAAATTTCATTTAGGAGAGTAGATATTTCAAAATTAATCTGTCTTTCCTTCATGAATATTTGCTCTTGACCCTTTAAATGCCCAAAATGGAAAAAGCTGTTTATGTTTTATTGCACATAACTATTGTGAGAGACCAAATTCTGAAAACTGGGACTTCCTAGGACAGCTCAGTTCAGCAGATTTCTGTACCTTACTAAGAAATAGTTAAAGGAAAAAGGCAAAGGGAGGTACAAAGCTGTCTGTTGTCTTTGTAAACAATGTTCTTTTTAAGTGACTTCTGATAAAATATTCCTCTAAAGGTTTTTTGTTTGTTTGTTTGATATTTTGCTACTTAAGCAAACTCTTCTTATTTCAGAAAAGTTATTGGTTTTGTATGGCACTGGAGAAAGTGTATTTAGTCATCTGTTTTCCTTTTTCTAATACCTATTTGTTGACAGAATGCAACAGTGCTTCATTTCTCTTAGCATTTAATTTCAGAAAAGTTCTTTGTTCTCAAAAAGGACAGAGAAGGGTTTCTAACTAATCGCTGATAATGTGCCTCAGAGATGCATCATCTGATTAAAATAAGGAGATAAACAACACCATATGATTTCAGCAAGTAATTTAGTAAATGCCTTCCTCACCAAATATTAGAATGGATACTCCAGGTTTCATTGCACAGATGAAGTTAATACTGGACAGGATTAGATCAGATTAAGTATGAAAGTCAGATCAGAGTGCTGGCGGACATGAGCAGGAGGGCAGCAGTCTTCTCGGAGGCTTAGACAAGGCTCACATATGGATGTTCTCCAGATTATGTGGGTGAAGCAAGGTCTTGCCAAGAGATTTAGAGTTAAATTTGTTCTTCACACAAATATCAAAACAACCTGGCTGTGCCATCTCTTGTATTCTTGATACTCACACCATGTCATCCTATTTGTGCTGGGAGTACAGCAGAGTGGAGCAAGACTTAAGTTGTTTTTTTCAGTATGAGAAATATTCTTGCCTAATACTCCTCCCAGTCTGTTTGGAAATAGTGTAGTTTCTTTAGGAAACAAAGAATCAAACATGACAGGTAAAATACATAATGCATTTGCAATCCCTGCATTTTGTACATTTATTTTGAAGCACTTAAGATGCAGGTAAGTGTATAAATATTTATAGATTTCTAAAAAATAAATAGAAATGTGCAGGTTAGTTTAAAGTATGTGGTTTTATTCACAAATTGTCTCTATTTTCTTATTGCAAGTGCCCATATATATAGTTTAATAAGCATGAAAATCCCCTCATTATTTCTTTTAGAAATCATTTTTTTAGTTATGGACACTAGGTTTTCTGGTACATGAAAAGGCTGAGGGAAAAAATGTTCCATGCTTTATCAAACTCGAATCTTCTTTTCATTTTCGTGTATTTCTCTTCCGAGATATAGAATTGGCTTGAGAACTGTTGGCAGGATTTTCACTCTCTGAATTTTTTGGGCTGCCATTGAAGAGGAAAAAAAAAAATCTCTTTTCTTATAGCTCCTTGGCTGAAACCTGAAGTATGCAGCGATAAAAACAGATAGAATAGATTGCATTTAGTCTAACACCATCATATAGCTCATTGTCAGTCAATAAAATCTGGGATTAGAACAGAGAGCTAGAAAGCAAAAAAACTGAGTTCAAATATTAGGTACATGGATAAATTTTTATTGAAGTATTTCCAGCAAGGGTGATATTGTCTGATTCTCTGAATAGCTAACCAGTGGTACTGCTTGATCCCATTTACATGAAAACAAGCTCTATTCATAAACATATTCCGAATCCACATGGAGGTTCAAGTAAAAATGTACATGATTACAACAAGCAGCGCTATGTTTATATTCATATATTTACAGTCAGACTTTCATAAACGTTGTGTGCAGGGGTGGAAAATAAGTTATTTCCCAGTCTATTAGTTAACAGCTAAATTTAGTAGCTCAACTAGATTATAAAATAAATATGAGGCAAACTGTGAAAGCTAGTCATTATTTAACCATTCAGGATTTTGACAATAAAAATAGTTTCATGGTTCAGCACATTCAGGATTTTGACAATAAAAATAGTTTCATGGTCAGCAGTTCCGAAATAACTTGTAAAATGTCAACTATGAGATAAAAATAAGGAAAAAAAAAAATCTTGGTGAGGCCACACCTGGAAGAAGGATACACTGGAAAAAAGTACTGAAATAATGGATTTTTTAAAGTATATCCATGCACCTCATATTTTTGAGGGGGAGTTTTAAGGCCAAGTGAGGGCTGCCAGAATTTTAGACTTTCATTTGACCTACAATTGTGGATATAAAGTCAAGCAGGTGCTGGAATTGTATGAGTGAGTATGAATAGAGGAGGAGAAATAACAGGTGCCTGTATAGACAGGCCAGAAAAAGGACTCTTCCAAAGCTCTTGAGAGCCTTGGATTTCTGATTATTTAAAAGAAAGCGTATATCCTTTTCTTTATTAAGAAAAAAGTTGCTGAGATTTTTAATCCAAGGAGAGAGTCAAGACCAGTAGGACTGAGCCAATAGAAAAATCTTTGTCTTTCACGTTCTTGTGAAACAAGTTTTCACAAATAATTTTAATGTAGAGACAGTATAAGGTCTAGATCCCCATATCATTTTGGAAATGCATAATATCCCACTTTACTTACTTAGACTGATTGTGTTCTTAAAGTTTGACACATGCATAAGTATTTGCACAACAGACGCTGGGGGCGGGTCTGTCCCACATTATTTTCACTGCTGAGATTTTTGTTGAAGTCATGGGGAGTTGTGGATTTACCAGGAATGTAGAACTGAACTGAAAGTATTCTTTAAATATCTTAAAATATGTCCATTTTCTCTCCGTTACTATTTCATTTAATATAAGGAAATCTTTTTTGCAGGAATGATCTCTGCTTCTTCAGTTCAAATTTATTGTTCATTTTAAGCCTGATTTCTTGCACACGCTTTTAAGTGCATTGGAATCTGACGACATGGAAGTAAGGGTTTTTTCAGTTTGTCAGCCGTGTAGTTGAAGGCAAACAAAAAGATAAAGGGCTCTATACACTAGGCACTATACATAAATGTAATCATGTCTGAAGTACACCTGTAAACTAAGCTCTTTTAATTCGTTCACATCACAGCCTATAAAATATAAGTATATGCCCCTTGTTGTGAGGCACAAGATAAAAGGATATCAGCATGTAGCAAACTGAGAGTCTACTTGGTTTTTAAATTTGTTTCCTTGTGGCTTACTGTTACTTCCATATAGTTTCGGTATAAACTTTCATTTTGGTTTTAATGGTAATTTAAAATTTAAAAAAAACAAGAAGAGGGAGGTGACAAGATTGCCTGCCTGTTCATCCAGATTTCACAGGTTAAGAGCACTGTCTAAGCAAAGGCCAAATCATAAACTGTGTTCTTGCCTCTCTATGGCTGTGCTCCGAAACTTCCTTGCTGACCCAAGCAACCCTTGCTATTCCTGTCCCGAGCTACTGCTTTCACAGCGTCCTTCCTACATAAACATGAGACATTGCCACTAAAGTAATGGTGAGCTAAGCCACATTTGAATTCAGGTATAAGAACCGAGTGAGAATGGTTTAGAACAATACATTATTTCATTTCACTGAGCTGTTGTGAGCTTTAAAGGATTCTCTCGGGTACATTTTTAGTACGCTATGGTAATATTTAGTCATAGAAATTCTACCGGTAAGAGAAATTGCATGACTAAATCTCCTTGCGTGGGCCAAATCCTGTGCTGGCCCTGTCTGCAGCACAGATTATCTAGCGACTTCTTCAGGATTTTCCTCATTCATCTTAGGACTCAGAGGGAGGATAGATATGTTCCCTGGAGTCACTGCATTGCATTAACATCGCTTCCAGCCTTCTCTGCTCCCTCTGGTCAGAGTATGTGGCTCACAGAGGAACAGGCTGGAAATCGCAATATTGGAGACTATTTCCAGTTGAAGTAGGTCCTGTTCCCAAGGACAAGCCTTTTGGAGGGCAGGAACAACTTGGGAGCAGAGCCAGGGCAACTGTCCCAGGTTATCTGGGTTTCCTAAGCTATCAGGGCTAAGAGTCTACCTCCCATACCACCAAAATATCAAGTGGGAGTCGGACAGAAAAGGTATTATTGAAGTTTTCTAATCTCTTGGCAGGTCATATAGCCATTTTAAGTTCTCAGACACTCAGTTTCTGGTGAACAAAGGCCCCTGGTTCTCTGATTGTAAAGGAACAAGATTGGTAGCAGCAGTTGTGCCCCTATCTCATTGTAAAAAGAGAGAATGGTACACAGGTCCATGAAAAAGGAATTTTAGCACTGGTAAGCTGCTCCAAAATTGTGTTTCCACTACACTGGTTTCAAAAATAAAAATATTATAAGTGCATTTTTCATTTGGCATGTATGTCTGTCTACACAGGATCTCAGCAAGTCTTAAATGTGTGCATGCTTGCGATGTTTCATGTTGAAGAAAATTAATTATTTTTAGTGATTCTTTTGAGAGAGAACTCATGCACTGTATTCCACCTCTTCTGCAGGTGGCTAAGTTCCTGGTGAAGTAGTGTCATATGGTATCTATCTGCATAGCGATCTACCTGAGGTGAATGTGATTAAAACTCCCAGGAGACATTAGAGGTATCAGCTGCTGTTTCAATGAATTGAATTTAAACACACATTTTTTCAGTAAGGTTCTTCCAGTAAGATTAATCGAGACTGAGGAGCAGCCATCATGTCAATTGCTAAAGTTTAAATTTTCTTGTGGGCAGGCTACCAGAGAAATTGTTAGGTAGTACTTCAATGTCTTAAGAAGACATTGTATTCTCCTTGGTAGCTGTGGAGTGTCCTTACCTAAATATCCACACATGTTCTGTTCTTGATGACTGGCATGTGGTTGGCAAACCACTTTTTTCTCTTCAGTGTTTTCGTATAGTCTTTATATTCTGTTAGAAATTTCAAACCTGGGAAAAAATTATCTTCAAAATTACCTCTTTCTTCTTCAGAAAGAGATGTTTGAGAAGAAAGGAAAGGGGAGTATAGAAAAAAATCATAAAGAATGGACAAAATGCCGTGTAGTGTGGAACTTGAGCTTGACGCAGGCTGGGAAGCAGTCTTATTACAGAGAAAGCATGAAAAATGACGAAGAAAGAATCACATTATTAGTGGCCTGCTTGATAGAGTTTCTTATCTGAATCAACAATATAAATGCAGCCCATGGTAGTAAGGACTGAACTGAAAGGCATCAGTTGCTATCCGATGGCTGTTCACTAACCATTGTAAATGCACTCTCATCCACAGTAACTACATGTCCACAAATATCTAGTCAAGAGTGATTGGCACCCTGGTCGCCACTATTAGTATTTACATTAAGGTACTGAGGGGCATGAAGAATGAATTATCCCCTCAAATCATGAGGTAATCACACCAAAATAGAGCTGAGCATGTTGGCAACATTGCATGGGAAAATTGACTCTGCTGCTATCCTTGTGGGACCCGTGCTGGAGATGAAGGATTTCGCTCTTGAGAGAGGACAACTCTGTACCATCTGGGTCATTGTATTTGAACAGCAGTTGAGGGAAATCTTTATAGGGACAGATATATAAATAGAACAAATATGCATAATAGATAATAATGGATTAATGCTACAACTGTGAAGGTAAAAGGGAAAAAAATACCCTTAACAGTAACACCTGAAATACAATAGAAAATACTTTAAAAAACTCCACCTCACCTTGCATAAAAAAAACGTGTAAAATGTTAACTTTGTATATTGGTCCCGATTTCTGATATGGTAGTACTTCAATAGCTAGCATATGTGATCTGTGAATTTCAGCTGTATAAAGATCTGTTTCATGCTGATATTTTAGCTTTAGTATAGATTATATTTGGTTTTATGTATTTTTTAATATTTAAAAGTATCTGAACTGGACAGAAATGTAGACCACAGTTTCTCTTTTACAGCATTGTGTAAACATATGTAATTAGCCTTGTACTTATCTGCATTAGTATCATTAGAATTGAAAACCCATTTTAATCTGGATTCTGTTCTCTTCTCCATGTCAGCCTGTTTCTGGACCAGTACAGAGCTAGCCTTGTTGATGCAATAAAGAGATTACTCCAACCCAGTGTAAGTATGTTTCTATTTTCTCCTGAACACTGGCTTCAGAATAATTAGTCTGTGCACAATGATTGAGAGAGTAATGGAATGGCAGGATTAATGTCATGTAATACTTTAATACTTATTATGTCCAACTTCAATTGAGTCTTCTAATCTATCAGATTCTTTCCTAATCATAAACTAGGAAACTTCTTATACTTGGCCTTCTGATAAGGAACACAGTGGGTAGTAAAATAAATGAAACCGCTTCAAAGATAGCATGAGATTATTTTTATCAAAGCGTTTCTCAAGTATTTTCCTTTGATAATAATGTCTTCATATTAAAGTAAAAGTATGATATTGAAAGTTTTTATGTTGGCTTCTGTCATTTGTAATCCCTTCAATTGTAACCTTTGTCATGATGTATTTATTTATTATGAAAGAATATTTTTTCTTTTCATTTCTGTTTATATAAAATGAAAAAAACCCTTATGCATATATTGTAGCCTAAAACTTTTTTTCCATTAAGCAAGCCCTCTGTTTACATGTTTTATACCTTAGAACACAATGAAATTAAGCTCTTCGTAAAATGCTTACATGTTCTACATGAGTGTCACTAAGGAAATATTTTACCAATCTCAGTCTATTAGGCTGTTAAATCAGAGACCTACAGGAAAAAAAAAAAAAGCTGTTATATGCATATACTTCTACCCAACAAATAATCTCGAATCTCAAAAACATATTTTAAAAAGAAGATACCAAAATGAGAATATGAGAAAACATGTGGAGTAATTGCTATAAGTAGGAATTTGAAACAGGAATTTTACCTTTCATGCTTACCATAGAAATCTTCCAGTAAGGTAAACTTTCCATGTCAAAACAAAAGTATTTCATGTTAGCAATGCATTCTCCAAACTTTATTTAAAAATTGTATTGTACTTTTTGTACAAGAGATTTTCTCTGTAAAACGAATAGAAGACCCAAACGTGCAAAGGCTTAAGAAACCAAGTCATTTAGTCATGTAAGTAATCCCATTCTTTCCTAAGAGTGATCAGGTTTCTATTCTTGGTTCTATCATAGACTTTCCTGAGTGACCTAAGGCAAGTTACTTAAGACTGAATTATTTTAATGAGCTGTGGGGCAAGGCTGCCAGGAAGACAGGAGAAATGTAGCCACCCTGAGGAAAAGGTTACCCAGATATTTCTGTCAGTGGTAGCAAGGGGAGGTTAAGCAGCTCCTGCCCAGAGTGATGCATTCTGACTTTCATGATGTACCATCAGTTATCAGGGTGCAATAATTTTTGGGACCAGAGGTGATCTGGAACACAAAGCTGATCCCAGTTAATAAAAAAAAATGCAAAAAGGTTATTTTTTTTCAGCCCAGATCAATGTCTGCACCTGGTTCTTCAGGTAGCCCCATACTGGCTCCATGAAAGGATGCTGGGGCAGAAGAGTTGAGTTGCAGGAAGAGAAGCATATAAGAGGTGCCCTGGTACTTGTGACCTGGGTAGAGCCTCTATCTGCAGTGGAAGAATAGCTGTTAGTTGCTTTGTCTCCTGCTCATAGGTAATCATGGTCTGGTGGTCTATATTGCCAAAAACATGAGTACACATATACATTTGTATATGCACACACACACGCATTCTTTACCTGGGCTGATTAGCCCCACCAGAGAATTTGATTTAAAAAACAATGACGATAAGGCAGCCTGAATTTTCAATAGTGTTCATAGCTCAAGTTCCCATCTATAGACAATTTAGGAATTGTTAACCCGACTTTAAACCAAAACTGGCCTGACTTTGTTGCTTTTTAACTCCAGTCAACTAATTCAAATGCAGCACATGCCTTTGCTTTTCAGAGCAGATGAACTACAGTCCTTTGTGAATGTAGTTGGAGTAAAGGGAGATGGCTTTTTGTTTCCTGTCTTCCTAGTCTGGCTTGCTTCTGCACATTGTGATTAATAGCATAGCCTGTATTTACTCGCTCTGCATTTTAGGCCATGGTTTCTACCTCTTATCGACAAAGCTACCTTAAGAAGTTCCTCCTGCAGAGTTTTGGACCACTCTCCAAACTGTATTTTTTAACCAAAGTCTTTTGCCTAATCCACTTTATGGATGGTCATATGCCAGTTATGGCATGGCCTTGCAAATTATTGTAATTCATAACTAAGAGGACAGCAAACTATTGTGTGAGATGGAGGCTGGAGGTACAGACACCTTAAAGGAGCTCTCTTGTCCAAAAAGGACATGTTGAACAGACATGCCTTCAAGCATATGCTTTCATGGTTTGAAAGACCCAAATAAAAGCATATACTCATTTGAGATCCCAAGAGAAAATGCAATCACAAGTACGTAATAGTTATTATTTTTACTGTTCTTGTTAACCTGTATAAATCTAAGGATAACATCAGAGGAAACTTTACTAAACGGCACTATACTTTGGCCTTTAAAGGAAAAATAAATTAGTAGTGAACTCATTTGCCAGTTGCAATAATTAAGAATAGTTTATGGGCATTAGTTTATGCCCAAGCTAAAGCATAAACTACTTTGATTAAGTTCACCCTTCTACATTAATTATTTTGTCTCAAATTTAGAAGTTACATTTCCTTATTGGTAATACTTTGCCAAATTGATAGAGGAACAATCTCAGATTGAAGACACATCTAGTAAGACATCTTTCAGGTGTAAGTAGGATACAACTAGGATAGAAGAGTTCAGGGAATATAATAGCCAGGAAAACCAAAAGGAAAAGTGGAGTAAACAGAAAATAATGGGTATTCTTACAAAGCTGTCTTGAAGGAGAAATTCAGAACAGGTAATTATTCTTACTGTTAGTTTAAAAGAGATAAATTTATCTGCAGTATTTCCTTTTTTATTAAGGATGTTATTTGTGGCTATTAGAATCTTTATGGCACAGAATGATCTGTTTTGAGTAACTTTTTGTTTTCCTGGAAACAGGACTCTGATTTTAGTCATCTGATTCATAGTATGGCCCCATGGACAGTTGTATTGGCACAGGAAGAGAGGACCAGAAATTCACACAGGCAGAAATGAGCAGCTCGCAAAGTTACTGGGGGCTGAAATTTCTTATCTGAATTTGTTACAAAGGCAAATGTCACCTGTAAGCCAATTCCAAGAATTAGGCACTGAAATTTTACATCAAACAAATTTATACTGAATGGCTATATTTTATCCCTCTTATAAGCAAGCTACTTGATTTGCCAACATTTAGTTTTATTTTTTCCTACCATTAAAAAGTATTTTTAATTTCAGTCTCAGCATAATAAGTTTGCATAATTTTTGCATAGTTTTGTTTGCATATTTCCCTAATTAAGAACATTTTTTATGAAGACTTTGATTCTTCTGTGGCCTATCCATTCAAAATCCCAATGAAGTCAATTGGATGGTATTGAACCATGATTAGTACCAGCAAATAAGACTGTATTTAATAATGATTGATGAGTAAACTTAGTCATAGTCATGTCCAAAATGTGAATGTCTCTCCCATTATCTTACTGCAGCATTTTAGTGACACTTCAAACTATTGTAACTGACATTTTCCTCTGTGTTTTGTTCATGAGTTTACTGGAAGTATTTTCCTGGCTGGGGAAAGGCCATTCTGACCTTTAAACATCATCCTAAACTGAGAGACACTTTTGATTTACGCGTTTTGAATTAAACAACCTTGGGATAGTCCATCAACTGTAGGTCCAGGCCACTGGTCTAATTTTTTTATTGTACAGCAACCAAGAAATGAAAAACATCTTTAAATTAGAAATGTGAATGCAGTTCTACAACAGCTAGCAGAAGCACAGACATCAGGCAGTTGACAAGAAAGTGCTTTAAACCCAGATTATGATAGACCAGAATTGACCACAGTACCTCCATAGTACCTGCCAGTTTTGAGGAGATTATTGTAGTATTAAACTTAATGATGACTTCTTGTTTTTTATCAGCAAGGACAAGATCCTCAGGTGTTTTAGATGTGCACTAAATTCAATAGAAGAATGGGTTTTTACACCAACTAAGGAGCTGGCCAAATGTGTAGTGATTTCCATAAAAGGCCATTCCCCTTTTTCAAAGTTATTTCAAGATTTTCAGTCTGGTTTTAAGAGATATTTCATACCATGTTACATTCTATTTTACTGTATTTCTCTTTCAAATTAAATTTGAAGTAGTCTACAGAGAGCATAAGAAGGAATGACCGCACAGACTGCTGACTCTAAATGGAAATCTGTAAGGGGGTGCTGTTGTATGAGCATTGCTTCACCAAAGCTGCTGGATCAGTGGCTGATGTAGGGCGTGTGGCCCCCAGCCATCTCCATTCACGAGGCTTAGCCATTCCTGAAGTCCATGCGCGAATCGTGTGGTCAGTAGGCCCTGGGTGGGGGACATGTTTCCCATTACAGTGACCTCTCTGTGAAGCTGCCCATGAAGATGTGGGACTCCAGAGGAGTCTCATCCTTCTTATGCCAGGAAGGGTCTCCACAGAACAACATTCTGGGGAGCGTGAGATGGCAGCAGGAGGAGGAGGATCCTCAGCTGAAGGCTCCATTTGCTGCCCACTTCTGTCTGATGACATTAAAGCATGCGAAGGATGTGCGGGAACTGATTGTGAGTTTCCTGTGTTTAATGTTTTTCATCCTGAGCTGAGCCTGTATTCAGACCTAATATTTACATAAGCAATTCCAGTGCCTTCGGTGGGAGTTACACCCCTCTGCACCTCATATTTAGCTACAGAATTAAAGTTATAGCTACACAAATGACCAGAAGTGAGTTGCTTTGGATACTGCCCTTTGTGCTTAAATTTCTTATGAGAAAGATGAGGATAACAGTATTTCCCTATCTCATAGAGGCATTGTGAGAATAAATACAGTGCTATGGTATTAATGATTGGAGTCTTTTAAGTACACATTAGTACCATAGATACTGACACAGAGTTTTTATTGCCGCTTCACTGCGCATTGCCTCAGCATATGTGTGCGTGAGCTGTAACACACAGATTAGTTCCCTATCCTCCTCACTAAGTATCTGTGTCAGCACTGTAACTTTCCAGAGTTCCCACTGAAATTCTCTCTTCTGATTACATTTTTCCTGTGGTATACAAGATTGCATTTTCTCAAGCCAAATATTCTCCTACAGCATCTAATCATTTTATAACTTCTTCAGATCCCTAAAAATATTTTTTTGTCTCTTTGGTTGGTTACAGCACCCCACAAATTAGTCTTAGCTCTCATTAATATAGAAGTTAAATACAATAACACACAGTAAACTTTGTGGCTCCCCTCAGTGTGATATGCTGTTGGCTGATATTAACCTTTGTTTACAGCTCTTCAACCGGTTTTCATTCCATCTGACAGAACACAGTATTCAGCCAATTAGAATTAATTTTGCAAATAAGATTTCAAGAGATGCTATATCAAGTAGGCTAGGGTTTTGGCTAGTACTTTGCACAGAGTGTCTAAAATCTATCAGTTTAAGGTACAGTCATTTTTGTTTTCTTAAATACAGAAGGATGAACAAAAAATTAGCTAATGGACCATAATGTATTGCCTGGGCATCATAAATGGCCTGATTGTCTTGAAAGATCCAGAATTACTATGCAAAAACATTAAGTCCTGCTTTAAATGCAATTTACCAACTTAAGGTCAAATTCAGTTGCACTGCTCAGGTAGTTTAAAATATCTTTTAAAAGATTAATGATCGGGTCTGATTTTCCTACCATTTTGCCTTGTTTTACACTGTTGTAATTCCACTGACAGCAAATGGGAGGTACTCTTCCATGTGCGAGAGTGAAAAAAGAAAATCATTATTTACAGTCTTTGCATGGTCATGAGCTAACAAATGGATTTTGCATTGAGTGTATGTTTTGTATGCTTTTTCTGTGTTTTATTTTGGTAATTCATAGCCACCATTATTATATGAAAAGGAGCAGATGTATGGCAGTTGGCAGTTTTCTAAAGAAAATATTTATTTATTACTTCTATTTTGTATGTGTTTAATCACAGAAATCTTTTTGAACAATTATTTATATTACCTTATTTTAGTATTTTACCAAGAGAACAATTGACTTTTCCCGCTTGAGTATATTAAAAGCTTAGTCAGGTGTATGTTATATCTGGTTCCCTTCCAGTTTTAAAAATGTATAAATTCTCTTTTTAATGTTCCAGGGGAAAGCAATGGTATTTGCTCCACTCCGAGGGAATACTTTAAACCAGTTTTGCAATCTAGCTGAAAAAGCTGGTTTCTCTATCCAAAGACATGAAAATTATGATGAACACATTTCGAACTTCCACTCCAAGGTTAGTTTTCTGCTTGTGTTAGATAACACTTTAATCCGCATTGCATTTTGAAGAGATCATGGTCCTTTTGGCAGGTAACCTAAATGTTTGATTAAAGTACTCCTTAGGTGTGCTGTTTCTGAACAGCTATTTTTGTATCTGATTATTTTGTGTGGTAGAACCATCCTTTATCTCTGCACGGCTAGAAGAGTTTTGCAGAAGCATCTCCTGTTTACCCTTTTCATTCATAGAAATCTAATTTATGAGAGTCTTTTCTTCTTGTTGTTAGCTGCCTATAAATATACTGCACACTAGCATTTACATTTTAATAAAAAGCTTGCAACTTTTAAGTAGGTTAAATACTAAAATGGACTGAAATAAATAGGAGGTGAATGTCTAATTGTATCATATCATACCTTAAATCCTTATCTCTGGCTGCTTTATGGCTGGGTCAGTTGGCAGCTTCAAACTGCTAAATCTCATACAGAATTTCACAGTTGTGAGGTTATATGTCAGATCGAGGCGCTACAAGATTTAGGTCAAAAGCACTTATCTGAGCGTGATTTCTAAGCTTGCTTACATAAAGCTACTGTTATCAGTCTCCTTTTTTATTATTTATAAGTATAGAGTAATACAGGACATGAAGAGGAAGGTGCTTCACAGAAAACTTTTTAGGAATTTCTTACTTTACCGTGTAGAAGTGCTTATCAAAATCATATTTATTACTTGCAATTCTGAGATCTCCATTTCATAACATAAAGAAATCCACTGTTGTAGGTCCATATGACCTTAGACATAACCTCTTGCAATTTTCTAAGAATTGCTCTTGGAAAATATAGATATATTCACAATTGAAGTGAAATGCCTTTTTTTATATTTAGCACCACCATAGGATAGAAATCAGATTATTCTAAAAAGTATATGCATGTGATGTTGTGAGGAATAAATATATACTTTATCATGTAATTTTATATTTAATAAAGACTCCCATTAAAGCTATCTAAACACGTGTACATAAAATCACTTAATTTCATTGTTCAGGTAGGCCTGAATCTGGTCACACTAAAACCAAATAAATTTCAGTCATCATTCATCTACCACCTTGACTTTAAATCATATAAAATGATAAAAATGTAAGGCCCAGTGTGATGGGTTTTTTATTTGCCTTCACCTGAAAAAGGGCATGATTTTGATTATGTTGTTTTATGGTAGTAGTTCTCTTTCATTATCCACTGCATCCAAATCAGCTCTGCAGCAGTAAAATGCAGGAGTAATAGTTGTTATCTTGATCCAAAAGATGGGTCTAAAATGATAGAGTAGTTTATTTTGCTTAGAAAACAAATCTATTCTATCTTCCTCTGGTTATGTGTCCACTGCAGTCCTTATAATGGTGACCAGAGCGAAGACGTATCTGAAGTAGCTTTAAATTAGCTGGCTCTGGAAATGCCGATCATTTTACTGCAGTATTTTTGAGCACAAGCTGTGAAATGTAAGATGGACATGTACTTGGAGAGGGTAATGCCCAGCTTCATTAGTTTAAATCGAGTTTGGGAATGTTTTTTTCTCCACTGTAATCACAGCTGTGACAGCCTTGTTCCTTGTTCCTCCTCCCCCTGTCTCCTTTTGGCTTGAGGAAAAAAAAATCCCAAAGACATCACTGTTCAGTCTAACACGCATGCTACCTCATGACACCTGATGGAATCAAGAATAGCTTTTTGTTCATTTAATTTTTTTAAACAGAGGCACTTCAGTTTTATTGGAAAATCTTCAAGGGTGAGGGAGAT